GAAACTGATCCCATTCACAATTGCACCAAGAAGCATAAAATACCTAGGAATAAATCTAACCAAAGATGTAAAGGATCTGTATGCTGAAAACTATAGAAAGCTTATGAAGGTAATCGAAGAAGATTTAAAGAAATGGAAAGACATTCCCTGCTCATGGATTGGAAGAATAAATATTGTCAAAATGTCAATACTACCCAAAGCTATCTACACATTCAATGCAATCCCAATCAAAATCGCACCAGCATTCTTCTCGAAACTAGAACAAGCAATCCTAAAATTCATATGGAACCACAAAAGGCCCCGAATAGCCAAAGTAATGTTGAAGAAGAAGGCCAAAGCAGGAGGCATCACAATCCCAGACTTTAGCCTCTACTACAAAGCTGTCATCATCAAGACAGCATGGTATTGGCACAAAAACAGACACATAGACCAATGGAATAGAATAGAAACCCCAGAACTAGACCCACAAACGTATGGCCAACTCATCTTTGACAAAGCAGGAAAGAACATCCAATGGAAAAAAGACAGTCTCTTTAACAAATGGTGCTGGGAGAACTGGACAGCAACATGTAGAGGGTTGAAACTAGACCACTTTCTCACACCATTCCCAAAAATAAACTCAAAATGGATAAAGGACCTGAATGTGAGACAGGAAACCATCAAAACCTTAGAGGAGAAAGCAGAAAAAGACCTCTCTGACCTCAGCCATAGCAATCTCTTACTCGACACATCCCCAAAGGCAAGGGAATTAAAAGCAAAAGTGAATTACTGGGACCTTATGAAGATACAAAGCTTCTGCACAGCAAAGGAAACCACCAACAAAACTAAAAGGCAACCAACGGAATGGGAAAAGATATTTGCAAATGACATATCGGACAAAGGGCTAGTATCCAAAATCTATAAAGAGCTCACCAAACTCCACACCCGAAAAGCAAATAACCCAGTGAAGAAATGGGCAGAAAACATGAATAGACACTTCTCTAAAGAAGACATCCGGATGGCCAACAGGCACATGAAAAGATGTTCAGCGTCGCTCCTTATCAGGGAAATACAAATCAAAACCACACTCAGGTATCACCTCACGCCAGTCAGAGTGGCCAAAATGAACAAATCAGGAGACTAGAGATGCTGGAGAGGATGTGGAGAAACGGGAACCCTCTTGCACTGTTGGTGGGAATGCAAATTGGTGCAGCCGCTCTGGAAAGCAGTGTGGAGGTTCCTCAGAAAATTAAAAATAGACCTACCCTATGACCCAGCAATAGCACGGCTAGGAATTTATCCAAGGGACACAGGAGTACTGATGCATAGGGGCACTTGTACCCCAATGTTCATAGCAGCACTCTCAACAATAGCCAAATTATGGAAAGAGCCTAAATGTCCATCAACTGATGAATGGATAAAGAAATTGTGGTTTATATACACTATGGAATACTACGTGGCAATGAGAAAAAATGAAATATGGCCTTTTGTAGCAACGTGGATGGAACTGGAGAGTGTGATGCTAAGTGAAATAAGCCATACAGAGAAAGACAGATACCATATGGTTTCACTCTTATGTGGATCCTGAGAAACTTAACAGGAACCCATGGGGGAGGGGAAGGAAAAAAAAAAAAAGAGGTTAGAGTGGGAGAGAGCCAAAGCATAAGAGACTGTTGAGAACTGAGAGCAAACTGAGGGTTGATGGGGGGTGGGAGGGAGGAGAGGGTGGGTGATGGGTATTGAGGAGGGCACCTTTTGGGATGAGCACTGGGTGTTGTATGGAAACCAATTTGACAATAAATTTCATATATAAATAAATAAAAATAAATAAATAAATAAATAAATAAATAAATCTAAATCTGTGTGGATTTATATGTGTTTATATGTTTGTATACTTATATATATTTCATGAATTTTTATACGTATATATTAATATTTTTATGTGGAAACCAAACAGCATTATTAGAATGCTCAACCCATTGGGTGAAAGTTTATAGGAAAACAGGATTTGGGTAGTGTCAATTTGTCCCCATGTATGATTACAAAAATAAAAAGATATCTTTATAATGGACAAATATGGTTGATACAATCTTACTAAGTTGATCAAATTGAACAACACCAATTAACAGGGCAAACTGACATCATATGCTTATTGATATGTTGTAATGTGGAAGACACAGCGTCACCAAAAATGTTTAATCTGAATATAAAAAGAAGAAAACAATAGAAAAATAAAGTCAGATTAAGGTTCATCCCGTAAAACAAGCATTTACTCCTCAAAAAAATGTCAATGTTATTAAAGACAAAAAAAAAAAAAAAGAAAGAAAAGAAAAGAAAATGAAAGAACTCTTCAATTTCATTGAAAACTAAATAGAAACAATAACAAAATGCTTGTGTAGTCCTTGTTTGATTCCTGGATCAAAACTAGGGCAGTTATAAAGGACGTTATTAGGAAAATCAGGGAAATTTAGATATGAATTATATATAACATTATTATATTAATGTTAAATTTCTTGTGTGTGATCATGATATTGCACTTATTTGGAGATTGTCTTATTCATAGGAGATCCATGTTGAAGTATTTAGAAGTGAAGTATCATGATTTCTGCAACCTACTTTGAAATGATTCAGAAAAAAACATTGAGAGAGTGAAAGCAAGTAATAAAAATGTTAACAGTTGGTAAACTTGGGTGAAACATATATAAAGGAGGATTGTACTACTTTTCCACTTTCCTGTAGGTTTAAAACTTTTGAAAATATAAGATGGGAAAAATTAAACCAAATTAAACTATTCTCCAAATTCTTTATTTCGTATGTCTGTTTCAGCAATATTGAGATACAGGGGTATCATACATACACTCACCCTTTTTATAGATTTAAAATATTAAATGTTGAATGAATGTTACAAATTATAATCTGAATTATCACAAGGCACTTAAATAGGAAATCAAAAGACTTAAGAATTGTGTTAAAATTTCAGTACAAGCATAAGAATAAAGGATATTGGTCATGTTAATATTCAGGCTGTTTGCCCCATCTAAATTTCTCTGCTCCCCTCCCACTTAAAATCTAAAAAAAAAAAAAATCATCATAAATTGGAAGTACAGAATTCTTAGAAAATAACTGGATGATGAGTTGTAGGATTCTCCTTACAGGTACAATCTACTCTTTAGCAACCTGTAAGCCATTGAAAAAGTAACTCCATAGCCAAGAAAGAAAGCCAAAGCACGATTTGGCTGGGGAAGGGGTGTCAAATACGCGACTGTGTGGTAGATCCGTGCTCCAACAAAGAGTCTGAAGTGCAGGATGGCTGTAGAGAGATCTGGACCACTCAAGGAATACAGAAGGCCAATACCAAGAAATGGCACAATGTTTTCAAGGTCATTCAGGTGAGCTCTGTGGGAAATTAGCAAAACACTACTTTCAAAATCAGTAGACATATATTCATTTTTCCATTTCTTTTAAAACTAAACAGATTTTTTAATATGCGTATTTATTTCATTTTTGTTTAAATTGCCTTGCCCTTTAACCATCTGGCTTTTATTTAACATATCATTATTTTTGTTTCTACTATTAGTGTATCTCAACATATAATAACGAAGACACTTTGCACTTTCAGGAATATCAGTCTTAAAGCTCTTTTATATTATCCCAATAGAAGCAGTGACAGTGATACACACACAATAAGGTCTCAGTGAATGCTTTGTTCATGCACTGGGGCCAGAAGGGAAGCCATCTAGTTCAACTCCTAGCCCATGCATCAGTCCCTTAGCAGAATCCCCAGTGAGTATCACCTAGACTTGATTAAGCACTCTGAGGGAAAGGGGATTCTCTGCCTTTGAAAGTAGTATATTCTCAACATCTCTCCTTTCCCTATATACCAAAGCCAAGCCTTCCTTCTTTTCCTTTTGAATGGTACCCTTTATTTCTCCAGCTGCTCTGATTACCTTGCAACTTTCCTTTTATCTTGTATTGAATGTATGTATGGTCTCAAATTCTTTCCAGAACATGGTGAGATAGGATTAAATAAACACATATGTAAAATGTTTTCTAATCATCACTGATTTCTGTCTCCCCAAATGCAAGTAACTTACTTTAAGCCATTCATTTATCTTAACATTTCCAAGACATATTACTTTATGTTTTTAATTATTTGTCCCACATGTCATCGATATCAATTTTTTCAGTATTGCATACTGAAAGCATACTTCATTTCACTTCATTTGTAGCCCCACTCAGTCCCTGACATTGGATTTACATGTGGAAATTTACATATTTCTATACTAATAGAAATAGCTTTACATGTGGAAGTAATGAAAAGAAAAAAAAAGTCAAGGTTAAAAATGAAATGGGGAGATTCTGGAAAATCTTTATCTGCAAAGTATCTCCAATGGCGAATTGTTACTAGAAACTTTTTGGTGGGGTCGATAAAGTCTCAAAAATTACAACAGGAAACCCGACAGTCTTTCTTGGAGACTCTTTCTCCTGTCTCCACACTGAAAACCCAGTGTCTGATCACCAGGGGGCGCTGTGCACACAGTCGCTGCATCTCTAAGGATACTGACTCCTTTCAGAACTAAGGTCAATGGTTATTGACAACCTGACTAGAAGATCAGCTTCAATAATGGCTTTCTCCTCTAGAAGTACAATGGGCATGGGGGGTGGGAATGGGAAGGGAAAGTGGGGAAGAATCTAAAATCTCATAATAAAATATCTTTTATTAAGCTTTCACACATGACACTTGGATCCTCCCTTCAAACTTACTAATGCTATTGAGAGTCTAATTGTTATCACTTTCAAGTCCCGGGCAATGTTATGAGTATAGGGTCATGATTAGCATCATGGATGTGATTACCTTCTCTAGAAGGGAGGTACAAAAAGGTAAAGACAAAGTTTTAAACTGCTTACTGTCTTTTTGGTGGTTTTAGTAACTCCACAAAGCACTACTCACCTTTTCTAAAGTTTATTCTTTTTCACCATAACACTTATAATTTTCTGATACAGTTTGAAATTTTCACATTGATTCTCTGTCCTGAAACTATTTTAGATCCACACGCTTGACACAGTCCATTTTTAAGACAGGCTGATTTACTCTGCAGGACTGCTAACTTAACAAATATATAACTAAGCGAAGCAGAGGCTAAAATTTTATTCACGCTATCTAGCACAGACTTCTTAGAAGAAAACATTCTTGTTTAATAAATAACTTGGGATTGAATTTTTGCATAAGAAAAAAAATGTGAATTTCATTTTGGTACTGGTAGAACAAGAGAATGCATGGGGCAAAAGCAGAGCCTGCAAAATGATGTCCTGCTGGGCATCATCCGAAGCAAAGAAGGTACAGTGCAACTTCCCAGGGAGAGGCTGCTGAAGGACACCGTCAGAGCTCTGTCTAACCTACAACTTGAAATGTTTGCGTTGCCGTAACGTGACTCAATTTAGTCAAGTCTATTTTAGCCACATTTCTTAAGTTGGTTTGTCGAGAGTTGAGGAAAGAGCCAAGTTTATGCTAGTCTCACAAAATGTAGACAATGGAAACACGCACAAATGTAGGGCCCAGACTGACAGGGAATCTGCAGAAATCTTGGGAGAGGTTTCAGACTCTCACTGGGAATCAAAAATGTGATAATGTAAATATGATCTAGATCCTAAAGGGACTAGAGGCTCTAACTGATACCTGAATTACAGAAGTAAATTTTTCTTATTTCAGTATCCATTTCATTCTTCATATTCACCAAACAGAAGTGGTGCCATCAGCTATACTCATGATGTTTCCTATGTTAAGTATTCGCCACAAAACTAACTATCTGTATGTTTGAGTATGGTTGTGAAAACACTTCATTGTTTCTTTAATTTTATATAAGTTCACTTATTCCTTGAAATGTACCTAGAATTGCACCATGTGTGGATGAGCATTAGAAAATACTAGATGTGGGGCGCTTGGGTAGCTCAGTCAATTAAGCATCCGACTTCAGCTCAGGTCATGACCTTGTGGTTTGTGAGCCTCAGCCCTGTGTTAGGCTCTGTGCTGACAGCTCAGAGCCTGAAGCCTGCTTCAGATTCAGTGTATCCCTCTCTCTGTCCCTTCCCTGCTCATGCTCTGTATCTCTCTCTCAAAAATAAATAAACATTAAAAAAAAGAGAAAAGAATACACTAAATGAGAAATCGATATATAACTTTGATGTTTCAGTGTTAGGACATGGTAATTAATAGATCAGTAATAGAATCCCAACAACAACAAAAATTCTGTGGGTGAAAAAGGGACAGCCAAGATGGTGACACAGGAGGCTCCTGAACTCCCTCCCTTCCACAGCCACATCAAATGTAGAGCTCCACACAAAGTAATTACATCTGAAAGAAATCCAGAAAACAACTGCGTGACTCCTAGACATTGAACAATACCCATCTTTAAGGCTGAGACACAGTCTTGCCATAAACCCTACCCCACAACTGAGAGGGAATTTCCAACTCCCAGCTTCTTCCTGAGGAGGAGTGGGTTTGGACTTCACATTTAGTGCCCAAACATTTAAGACTCTCACCCCAGGACAGAACCCCCAAAATATCTTGCTCTGAAAATTACTGAGGATTGCATCTCAAAGACCCACGAGACTTACAACAAATAAAATAGAGAAGTTAAGGGATGTACAAGACTTGTGTGTCAGCACAGAGGGAGCAGGCAAAATTGTCCATCTCCCAGTCTTTCTCTTAAAGGTCTGCAACTACATACTTTGAAATCTACTGCCTAAGCACCAGCATGCTTGTATCTAGGTTCAGTCTTTGATCCTTTGTAGAAACCAGGGAAGCTGGCGGATACTTCCCTGGCCTTCTCTCTCTAGCTTGATCCCAGTCACCACTATCTCCCTGGAAGGAGTTTATACACATGTATGCACTCCAACCTTTATGGCTGCAGTCCTAGGGAGGGGTCCCTGGGTCACCTGGCCCTGATCAGCACTAACAGTCATGAGTTAGTTAGTTAGATTTTATTCCCACAAAACATAGCAAACAAAGAATCAGTTCTCCACCAGCTCAAGCAGTCACTTCGACTATCTGTTCACATGGCTATACACAGGCCCAGCACAGATGGAGTTGACAAAAATGCCCAAACCCCAGTATCTCCTTAGAAGGGGCATAACTACATACTTTCCCAGCTGTTACTTAAATGTCCAGCTTCCAATTAGCCTATATTTAAATGTTGACTGTGATCCTCCCTTTGGAACACTTGACAAATCTTGACATACCTTGAACTATTGGGAGCCAGTAAAAACAAAGATGGCAGCTTGGACTGTCACGAAGGTCTGAGAGACAACAGGGCTCAGGCTAGGATAATTGACAAGGTTCATTTCCTACATGACACCACTCTGTCAAGACTGAGAGAAGTGGTTGTTCTAATGCACAGAAACCAACACAGTGCCAAAGAAGACGAAAAAACAGAAGAATATGTTTCAAACCAAAGAACAAGATAAATCTACAGGAACAGATCTTAATGAAACAGAAATAACTAGATTTACTTAATACAGAGTTCAAAATAATGATCATAAGATGCTCACTAAGGCCAGGAGAGAAATGCATGAACAAAGCGAGATTTACAACAGAAATAGAAAATATTAAAAAGTGCCTAAAAGAAAACACAGAGCAGAATACAGTAACTGAATTTAAAAATTCAATAGAGTGGTTCATCAACAGACTAGATCAAGTAGAATAAAGGATCAGTAAACTTGAAGACATAGCAGTGGAATTCATCCAATTATAGGCAAAAAAAAGAAAAAATAATAATGAAAAAGTAAATATAGTTTATGGAACTTATGGAATATAATTAAAAAGATTAATTGTATGTATGTATGTATGTATGTATTATGGAGGTCCCAGAAGTAGAAGAGGGTGAAAAGGGGGCAGAAAGCTTAGCCCAAAAAATAATGGTTAACACCTTCCCTAACCTGGAGAAATAAACAGATATCCAGATACAGGAACCTCAGAAACTACAAAAAAATATGAATCCAAAGAAACCCACGCTGAAACACATTATAAGTAAATTACCAAAAGTTGAAGACAGGAGAGACTCTTAAAACCAGCAAGAGAAAAGCAGGTTGTTTTATACAAAGGAACCCTATAAGACTATCAGAATATTTTTTACCAGAAACTACAAGGCAGAAGGGAGTAGATGATATATTCTACCGTTTTAAAAGAAAAAGAAAAAAAAAAAAACAATAAAAAACCTGCCATCAGGAATCCTATACCTGACAAAGTTGTTCTTCAGATTGAAGAAGAGATAAGAGTTTTCCAAATAAAAGCTGAAAGTATTCATCACCACTAAAGCAGCTAGAAATATTAAAGGGTATTCTTTAAGCTGAAACAAAAGGACAGCAATTAGTAAGAAGAAAATGTATGAAAGTATAAAACTCATCAGTAAAAGCAAATGTAATTAAATTCAAAATATACTAATGTAATGATGGTGGGTAAATCACATAACTCTAGTATAAAGACTAAAAGACAGGCACCTGGGTGGCTCAGTTGGTTAAGCGACCGACTTCAGCTCAGGTCATTATCTCATGGTCTGTAGGTTTGAGCCCCACGTCGGGCTCTGTGCTGACAGCTCAGAGCCTGGACCGTGGTTCGGATTCTGTGTCTCCCTCTTCCTCTTCCCCTCCCCTGCTCGTGCTCTGTCTCTCTCTCTCTCTCTCTTTCAAAATTAAACACTAAAAAAAAATTAAAAAAGAAAAGACTAAAAGATGAAAGTAGTATAAATAACTATAACAAAAGATACAGAATGAATGGATAAAAAAAACCAAGATAAAACTAGATGCTGCCTACAAGAGACTCATTTCTGCTTTAAGGACACAAAGACTGAAAGTGAAGGGATGGAAAAAGATATTCCATGGAAATGGAACACAAAAGAGAGCAGGAATAGCTACACTTATATCAGACAAAACAGGCTTCAAGCTAAAGATTATAAGAGATAAAGAAAGCCATTATATAATGATGAAGGAGGTCAATTCATCCAGAGGATATAACATTAGTAAATATTTATACACCTATCATAGAAGCATCTAAATATATAAAGCAAATATTAACAGACCAAAAGGGAGAAATGACAATAAAGTAATAATAGTAGGGGATTTTAATACCCCACTTTCAACAATGGATAGATCATCCAGGGACACCTGGATGCTTTAAGTATATTATAGATCTAAGTATATTAATTATCTATCTATATATAGATATGTATATGTATATATATATTAATTATATTAGGAACCTGTGTGAATGGTATCTTGGCTTATTGTTTTTCATTGTTTATTGAATTCTCCGTGCATTAAACATAATACCTACAAAGGACAGAGAGAAAGAAGGGCAAGATTTCCCATGTTCATATTCTGAGTCTTGTTTTTTCAATTTTTATTTATTTATCTTGAGAGAGGGCTAGAGAGTGAGTGTGTATGAGACGAGGAGGGGCAGAGAGAGAGAGAGAGAGAGAGAGAGAGAGAGGGAGACGGAGGGAGAATCCCAAGCAGGCTCCATGCTGTCAGTGCAGAGCCCGACATGGGCTCCATGTCACAAACAGTGAGATCATGACCTGAGCCAAAATTGAGTCAGACACTTAACTGACTGAGTCATCCACCCACATTTTGAGTCTTATGCAAAAGTATCTTCAACCTTTCACACAAGCTGACACTCTCAACTCTAGAGAAAGATGACAAAACACAAGAATCTACTATCCTCATTTTACCTCCTACCTGTAACTACTTTCGAAAAATCCCTACACAGAACAAAGTTATTAACCCCAACAAAGTAGGAAATTGGCAACATGTACAATTGCAGTGAGAGTTGGAGACTTCTACATCCCAATTTTCCATAATTATTATATGGACTATATAAGATGACTGCTTTTCCCTCTTCTTAGGACCCTCAACATCTCACTGAGCTCCTTGACCAAAACTCTTTGATAAAATAGATAATTTCAGGAGGCAGTGTGTTTACCTTCGCACACGTTCCACTTTGTCATCTGTCCGAAGATATTTCTTGGCATTTTCTCCTTTGCCAAACCCTGCACAGTCTTCTGGGTTGGCAAAAACCTATTCCAAATACCAAGGAATAAAAAATGCTGTTCAAATACCAAATAACAGGTGAGTATTCTACCTGATAAGTTATTTGGATTTTAACAGAAGAAATACAGGCATCCAGATTGGCCCTTAGGAAAAAATTCAGAGCTCAAGCACAGGTAAGGGTCTATACTTTAAATCTTCATTTTTATTAACAGTCCAAAATTTTTTTAAAGAAAAGCATAAATAGGGACTTAAATAAAACCAATGTATAAAAATAGCAAAAAGGAACCAAAACGGGAAAAGAGAGCATAATTTTAAGTTATCATTGACTATTATTATGGTGAATTGGCATTTTTTTTCACAGTGATGTTGATATAACTTCTCTCAAGGGTATTAACATTTCCAACTGACTGGTTCATAGGAAAGTTGTAAGTTTACCAGCCAAGGATGTTAGAGAACGGGCAAGAAACATAAAAGAGTGAGAGGCGGGAAATGTATTTTGTACTTTGTTAGGATATGTGTATCTCTTTTCTTTTGCTGAATTAACACTTTGGGTTCAAAAATACAGTGAAATATAAGAAGCTGAATTGCATTCCTGTAAAGGACATGTTCTACGGCATATATTCATTTATTTCTTCCTGCAATGATTATGCTCTTTGATATGATTTCCCCATCCCTTGAAACTTGAAAAATGCATTTAAGAAATATTTAAGTATGCTCCACTGCTTAATAATTCAAAGCAAAGAAAAACATGAACTACAAAATTAGCCTAATTTACACTTAGAAATCCATAAATATTATAATATTTTTCTTAATATGATATAAACATTTATTTCAGATTAAGATGTTGAAGAGAACTGATGAGAAAGGACATGATACAGGATCAGCTCTTGAAGTCAGCTCTGTCTGGCACACACTAGATGTTCAGTAAACATGTTTCAAACAAGTAAACAAATGTATTACAATGACAAGTGCATGAGATTTGAGTTTAAAGCAGTCTGAATTAGAATCTCAGCATCACCCTTTATTGGTGCATAACGTCTCTGATCTTCAGTTCCTCAACTGTAAAATGGGGGGGCTAACCCTCAATTCCCGTGATAATATGAACGATGATGTAAAATGATCCTGTGATTTCACACATACCAAGAGCACCACACGGCTACATATCATTGGTATTCCACAAATCTGAGTTCCTTTCTCCTTTCCTTATAAGACGGGGAACATTTCTGCTATGCTGCGTGCCATGTTTCTAGAGGACACTGTGGAGCTGGTGGTAGGCAACTACCTTACTGCTTGCTGCTCTAACACCTGGACCTATTAGAGCCTTAAACGTGTCTGTGTGTGCCCGCGTTAAAATGTAAATGTCCTTGGGAAGGAATTATACCTCAAGACAGTAACAGGGAAATATCTTAAGGATGACTGAGCTCTGGACAAAAGCAAGTCTCTGGGCAAAAACTCAGGACAGGCACTCCTAGAGAAATAGGTGTTTCCAGGAAGTAGTTGCTGACGAGGGACGACATCAATGAAAATAGTTTCTGTGTCAAGGTAGCTTTGCTCTACCCCCCTTACTGTGTTAGAAACCCTGCTTGAGTACAGGATATATGTTCCAAAATCTTTCTAATACCTTCCCCAACCCTCCATTTTAGGAAAAAAATCACATTCTTATAATGCTGGGCAGAAATAGCATCTACTTAAGAAGTTGGAACTACACAAAATTCAAATGTCTTGTCCCAGTCATAAAAGACTCTATTGATAATCATAAGAACTTAATTCTGTCCCCAAAGGTATATCCTTCACCTGTCATAGAACTGAAGACACCAGTTAACTGTCTGGAAAATGACTATTTTCTAAACTCTAGCAGGCAAAATTAACTCCAAAATTATAGAACGTTTCCTTGAAAACTTTGATACTACAGGAATCTCATATACTAATATGAGGAACATACAGGAATCTCAGGAATCTCATACACTAAGAAGCATTGAATCTGCTTATAGAATGCAGGAATCTCATATACTAAGCAGCATGACAAAAGGTAAAAGCCACAATGAAAACAACCACTTAGTCGTTTCCAGGAGAAAGTGCCTGTTCCATAAATATATCAGATGCATCTGTACCAAATGACTGCATAATGCATTTGCAATATTAAACAATGTGCCATTGGGCTTTACCAAAAAAAAAAAAAAAAAAAGTAAATTAAGAAAATTGTTTTTCCAAATTTCAAGTCTTAAAGGAAAATATCGCCCCTAAATGTCTTACCTTTCTTGTCAATCTAAAGAATGCAGTTGCAGTACTCATAAACATCATTTTTGAAAGAATAATCGTTGTATAGGAAGCAAAGGCCATGAATACTTCATTTTCCATAAGCTCAGTGAGGTCAACCATTTTTCAATTTTGGTCTGGAATCTTAAAAATATTTTAGACAAGATAGGAAAAGCAGACATAAATACCCCAAATAACTTGACAGTCACATAATGTTCTTACATTGCAGCATTAACTATATTGTTCTTAAAAAAGGATCTTAGGTTTATTCACAGAAGAAATCATCTCTTTTTCAATTTCAAAATAAATAGTATCAGGTTGTTTTCTAGTTCTATAACATTAAGCCTGAAGATATCAAACAGGCATGAAGCGAAAATGAAAATGTAGGGGTATGAGAAGCAAAGATAAATGGGCAAAATTCTATAAAGAGAGACTAAAATCATATTTTTGCATCATACTGCAAGCTGGACCCAAAAGACCAGAGTTCATGGACTGATCTCATTAGAAACATCAAATTATGTACATAGTAGCACCATTAATGTTTGATTGGGAATGCCTAAATTCTAATACATGTCCTGCTTTAGAAACCCAGCTTATAGCTTTTTGCCATTTCAATAGTGTTTAGGATCCCAGGCTACAAGATTTGAATTCCAGTCCCACCATTTGGTTAACTTTGGTTCAGAGATTCGACCTCTCTGAAACGAAATTCTTCATTTATAAGATAGCAATAGTAATGGCTCCTAACTTACTGGTTTGTTGCCAGGATTTAATTGAGATAGCATGTGGAATAAATTTATACTTAGCACAGCACCTGGCCCATGAAACACCCTCAGTAAGGTTTATTATATTGTTATGATCATCATTATCAGCATGATTATGGTCATCATCAATACCAACACAAGTGAAAAAGGGGAAGCAGGATATTAGAAACAAAATGCTAGGCAAATGCAAAGTAAGGAATTGGCATTGATGGTACTTTCATAGAATAAATAAGGGAAGAAAGATTATCTTTAATTTTTTTAATTTAATTTAATTTATTCTATTTTATTTTATTTTTGAGAAAGACAGCGAGCACACGAGTGAGGAGGGGCAGAGAAAGAAGGGGACAGAGGATCCTTAACGACAGCAGGGAGCATGACTTGGGGCTCGAACTCATGAACCGTGAGATCATGACCTGAGCCAAAGCCAGACGTTCAACTGACTGAGCCACCAGATGCCCCAGGAAGATGATCTTTATATAAGTCGTCAGGTTACTTCACATTGCAATGAATGTTACTGTCTGGAGTTGGAAGTATAATTGGGAATGCACTCAGAAGGAGTAGACTGGTGATACTGAAGTCAAAGTGGGTAGGGATTAAGTAAAGCTTCAAATTTAAATTTCCTACCCTGTCCGGTAGCCATTCTCTTTAATGTCCTCTCATTCTATGATCAGCCCTGCTATCTGCTTCTTCTATCTTGTCCACATAAACACATATCTTTTCTCATATCCACCCTTGGCATGTAGTACTGTCTCATACGCAATGTCCACTCCTGCCTTTAAAACTCAACCCCTGAATGCCACCTTCTTAGAGTGACATCTATCAAATTCTGATCATTCTATCCATCTACCAATAATCTATAAATTTATATCTCTTCTTATACTGTGTTACTGGTCATCCTGTGTCTATGCATTGCTGTTAGTGTGATCGAAACAACATACATATACGCTTAATTTTGTAAGAGCTCACTAGGTGTCCAATTCTGTCATGTACTTTATATGCATTATTTAATCTTTGTAACTATACCATTACAGTCCTTATAACTATATCCATTTCATAGATGAAGAAAATGTGACTCCAAGATGTTAAGCAGCCAAGTTAGGACGCAAACCCATGCCTATGACTTCATATCTTGTACACTAACTACACTGTACTATCTTCTTCAAGAGACTGCAAACTGCTGGGGTGCCTGGGTGGCTCAGTCAGTTAAGCACCCAACTTCAGCTCAGGTCATGATCTTGCAGTTCACGAGTTTGAGCCCCGTGTGGGGCTCTGCGCTGACAGCTCAGAACCCGAAGCCTGCTTGGGATTCTCTCTCTGCCCCTCCTCTGCTCACACTCTATCTCTCTCAAAAATAAAAAAAAGAGAGACTGCAAACTGTTTAATTCTCATTCAACTAACATTGTTGAATCCCTGCTCTGTGGCCAGCTGGCACATCTTACATCTGTTATCTTGTTTCCTCTTCCAGTGACGCTACAGGGTAGGTAGTATTATTCCAATTTTTCAGGTAAAGAAACCAAAGCTTCCCAAGTAACCCCTGTTTTACAAGGTAGGCTGAAAAGGTACTTTGGATTTAAGCAAACAGAAACTATATGTCCCCATTTAAGAAATAAAACCAAATACATACAATAAACTAATCCACCTCCACAGGTCAGTAGTCTTGAAAGCACAGAATGTTATATAAGCTCTCAGTGCAAGACAATACTTTTAGTGCCATTTAACGTATCTGATCTTGTTCCACTAGTGGGGGCAGGGGTGGGGAGGAAGTCATGAATAAACTGCACTGTCCCTCAGAGTTCATGTAATTAGCTTAATAAGGGATCCCTAAGCCTCTGGACAGAGATCTGAAGAAACATAGCAGGAATGTTAATTTTAAAAAATTGAGAAAAGTTTATCAAGCAGGATTGTTGTTATTTAACAATAATTTTACATCTAAAACAGTTTCTGTAGGTCTCTACGAATGTTTGCAGAATGAAATTTATTTAGCAGTGGAATGCCCAGAGAATGGTCTTCCCTTTGTGAAAACTGGTATTGAAAAAGTAGAGGGGTGCCTGGGTGGCTCAGTTAAGCGTCTGACTTCGGCTCAGGTCATAATCCCACAGCTCGTGGGTCCGAGTCCCTCATCCAGCTCCGTGCTGACAGCTCAGAGCCTGGAGCCTGCTTCAGATTCTGTGTCTCCCTCTCTCTCTGCCCCTCCCCAGCTCGCACTCTGTCTCTCTCAAAAATAAATAAACATGAAAAAAAAATTTTTTTTTAAGAAAAAGTAGAGAAAAAGTGGAAGCGTTCCAGAACAGCTGGTGGTAAAAGCACACAAAGATGTCAGCAGTTGGAGGAAAAGGGCAATGAGAGGTTTTTTTTCTTTAAATGTGAACAACACATTGAAAGTGCACCTCACACAAAGTTTTTCCAACACGGAGAATGTGGCTGAACTCCTCAGGTCTGTGGCTTGGGGAAATGGGCCAATGCCAAGCTTCTGATTTCATACCACAAACCACCTCTCAGAGACCTGAGGGCCAGGTGAGGAATAATGAAGGTAAGACATTAAGAAATAGAGAAGTGATTCATGGCATGGAATAAAATGATGCCGGACTAGACTTCTTTTCAAAGCTGATTTGTCAGTAAGTTGCCTTGAGCCCACGTCATGGCTGGACACTGTAGTCAAAATGCAATTACTGAAAGGTTTTTACTAGAAAAGGTTGCCAGGAGGGAGGAGAGCAATATAGTAGTACTAATAATTAAAAGAGTAAAATGTTAGGTGTTTTGAGTATTCTAGGAGTGAGGTCCAAATCATCAAAGAAAAGACAAAACATGCAAGTTGGTTATGAATTATGGAAAATAAAATATTACGGGGCGCCTGGGTGCTTTAGTTGGTTAAGCCTCTGACTCTTGATTTCGGATCAAGTCATTGTCTCACAATTTATGGGATTAGGCCCTACATTGGGGTCTGCATTGTCAGTGCAGGCCCTGCTTGGGATTCTCTCTCTCCTTCTCTCTGTCCCTTCCCCACTCTCTATCTCAAAATAAATAAATAAACATTAAAAAAAGAAAATAAAATATTACAATGATGTCATATTTGTATAGTGTACTGTTCCTTTCATTGTCCATCATGGGTCAGCACAGCAGAGAATACCTCCATCATTTTTGCCAGAGAGTAGGGCTCAGTCCCCTAAGGTAGAGGTGACTGCTTCTCCTCTGAAGGGACAAGGAGAAGAGTGTTGAGCACACAGAGACTCTGGAACTAGACTAGAGTCCAGGTGAATTAGATTCTGCCACTTACTGGTGGGGATTTAACTTCTCGGGGACTTACCTCTCCTGTATAATGAGGTTAATACTTCCTTTCTCACGGGATTCTTGTGAGTGTCAAATGAGTAAAGTCTGAAGATCTTGGAAAAGTACTCGGACCTGGTAAGTGCTATATAAGCATTTGGTAAATAAGTTCCTACTTTGGTACTGTCCTAGGCACTGAGGAGATCATTTTAGAGTTTTCAAAAAGCTTTTACATGATGTCACCTGATCTAGAAAACTCTAAGGTAGTCGGAGCAAGTAATATTTGTCTCTGCTTTTAAGGTATAAGGAAACCGAGGCCTGGAGAGGTAGAGTGAGTAATCTGACCCAAATTCACAGTAGAGGGACCAAGACTAGAATCCAGTTTTCTTAAGTGTTCAGCTCATCATGGGCTATCCACCATCAAGGCTAAGAATTCTAGACTACTTTGGTTTTCTGGGAGCCTTTTTCTGCCCAATCTCATCTTCCTACCTTGCCCTCCCCACCCAGCACCATGCCTACCCCCACTGTATCTATTACAGTTGAGTCTATCTCTCAACTATGGACTATTCCTCTTGTCTTTACAGGCTCTTGGCCAAAAAGGACAAAGTTCTTATTTATGGTGGCCTTGTCACATCAATATTGCGAAACACACAAAAAAATCTGGGCACACATCTCCGGAGCCATGACTCTGCAACTTTTCACCTTCTAAAACAAATAGAACGCTACCACAAGATAAAGAAAAAAGATGATTCAATGGCCTTTTTGCTGGTTATCAATTCTAGAATTTCTGGACGGGTTGAGGCAACTGCAGCCCTGGCCTCCTATACTTCAGAACCCAGGTGCCGGGAGGAAAATGCTGAGGGATCTGAGTGGATGTGGGGTAAGGCTGTTCTCAGGGGCCAGTGCTGACCTCCCTTCCCAGCCTCAGTGACTAATCAAGTCCTCTCTCAAACAAACCCTTAGAAAAACTGTACTTGTCCACCACAGAGCAATATTCAAATCTGGGCTATTTGTCATTTTAGAAAATGACCAAAGGTGGTCAACGAACACACATAGTCCTCTTATTTTGGAAACAGGACAGGACCACAAACCCTATTATAATCTACGCTAACTCCCAGGGCAGGAAGCCGCCAGGGGAGGCAAAAGGTGTGTGTAGCTTGGTTCTAAGGCCCTAAGAACTCTAGTCTTAACATGGCTGAAAGGCTGTAACCTGAGGGTCTGGGGGAATTTTCCATCTGCCGTACAACAATGCTTGATTACAACCCACTTGGCATTCCCTTGGAGAGAAAACAGGCAGAAGGCAAAGGAGAAAATAAGAGTGCCCAGACTACCAAGAGGCCTTGGGACTATTTCAAAGGAAACAAGGAGATGGGAGATTTACACGCACCCTTCTCTCCACTGCCCCAGTCCAGTGATAGCAATACTGTCTGAGGCCTCAACTCCCAAATCAGAGTTTCCCACGGCTTCTGCCTCTGGACTGGGGAGCTGGCTACAATATTACAAAGTTTAACCTATGTCCTCCTGCACTTTGCCGCTGCTGTGGCCGTTGTGGTTATCTCATTATCATTAGACTTGCTGGTGTTTTTCTCGCCTGTGAAAGTGAACCACGAGGAGCAAGTTTTTCCTGTATTTCCGGAGGTGGGAAAGCCAACTTGGCCCAGGGCTGCAGGAATTCACACTCTCAGGGTGAACAGACGTTGCTTCAACGGTAGCACCTTCACATATGACTACAACTTGCACCTCCTTTTTATTCTCCCTAAATTCCAGGGGGCCCATTCAAAGTGGACGTTCCTCTGGCTTGAGAATAAAACATGAGTAACGCACCACTTAAACTCAAGAAAGACTGACTCTCTCAAGTTTCTTTCCCGGAGTTTGACAAAGGGGAAAACTTACCTACAAGGGAGGAGGGTCTCAGCTCCCTTTCGGAGGTGACAGATTGAAAAGCCAGCGCGTAGCAGCTAAATGGAGCCAAGGAGTTTCACGCGGGCAAAGACCACTCCAGCCCACACCCGCCTCCTGCAAGGCTCCTGCCCGCCCACCACCCTCTCGGTGCCCTCTCCTTCCGCATCCCCTGCCCGGCACGTACAGTGAATCCGAGTAGGAATCCAGCCACAAACCTGTCCCCAGCGGGCGTGTCGCGCTGCCACCGCGGGGCGTTCACAGCGCGGGCAGACGGGACAGCAGGCAGGCCCCCTGCCCACTCTGCTAATTTCCTGGTACTCGCGCTGCAGCTCCAGAAGCAGGACTCCCAGCCCTGCGAAGCACCTCCCCCAAATCACCCGATTGTTGTGCGAGGGAGGAACCGTGGCCCACGCGTTCCCCGCTGGGACCTCCTCCGCTGAGCTCCAGCGCTCGGGTCGAAGCCCTGCCCCCCCCCCCGCCCCCCGCGCTGTGTCCCCTATTCAGGGGGGTGGGGTGTGAGCGGTTAGTATAGGACCTTGGTCTCCTCGGACTTTTCCAATGTGGAAGTGGAAAGCAAGGAAAAGGCAGGTGAGTCCTAGTTAGCTGAAAACAGTTTTTAAAGGTTTTACTGTAGCGTTTTGATAGTTTTAAAGCTTTATAGAAGATTTAAATCTCTGGGGGAGAAAACAAAACCTGATTAGAAATCATTGATAAAATTGCCTTCCAGTGAACTTCGCTTTGCCTGAGCACGTGGCAAGGCAAAAGCTGGCAGGGACACGATATAACATTTAGGAAAGAGCACCTATAGTCTTCCAAATCTGGGATCCCAAGCAACTTGCTTCCTCACTCTGTCCCCTCTTGTTCAGGGTCCAAACTGGATTTAGAGGAGATTATATTGGATCAGTTGATTACACAATCAGCTTAGTACGGTTTTTCAGGGACATTTAGGGAGTATTTTAGGGAGGCATGGTTATTCTAACGTCAATATCTAGATTAGGGATATTTCCAAGCTTCCTAGTCCCCACAAAAATATTTATGGATCTAGCTTCCCTGGTTTTATCTAAAACCATTTAAGGATTTATGTTTGCAATCTATGTTACTTCTCTCCTGGTAATACTTCTCACACATTTACCACCTGCTGTGTAGTATACTGCCTTTTCTTTTTCTTTTTTCTTTTTTTTTTTCATCCTAATTTTACCTACTTCAGGTTCCAAGGAGTGCCCTCAGAACTCGCTGTCCAGGATTTGATGGACAAGTCCTTGTTCTACCAAAAAGGGAAGTAAGACTTACCAATTTGCTCTAGAAAGCAGAAATTAATCACAAGCCTGAGAACAACTTCTGTACAAGCATCTCAGTAGGAGTATTTGGGAATCTAGCATCAGTGCTTCATTTTCAGGTCTGCATCTTTGAAAATTATACTTGTTTACTTATCTCAGTAAAGGGTTCTGGAACCTGTCTATAACACTAACAGGAGTAGGACGGACTTTGAGATGAATTCTCGCCATAGGAGGTTAGTACTCTTTTCATCTATTACGAGGTGATACAGCCCAAACCATAATATTACAGACAAAGGCGCAGAGAGCTATTATTGAGTAACTTTATCTCTAGAATTCCAGTTGAGCAGTTCTAACATGTTTTTGAAAAGAAAGGAGCGAAAGGAGCACCTGACTCATCTGATGCTCTAATTATAAAATGTATCCAAACTTAACTAATCAATGAAGAAACCGTGAGCTCCTGCTATCAATAAACCATGAGCAATTATTGCCTGTTATATATATGACACTGTCTTTAGTACAATGTCAACCCTTGGCACTAATTAATTTAATTCAAAAGCCATTTATGAAGTGAATTCAAAGCACTTCGCTTGATGCTAAAATCTGAAACTAAGATAAATAGCATCAGATAATTTTGCTCAAGGAGTTTATAATCTAGAAAACAAAGACAATGGCCAAAAATGTAAGAAGGTGACCAAACTTGAGGAAGAAAATATTTCCGTTTAGAAATGAGAATGATAATTGGGGTATGAACTAGGGCAATAAAGAATTGACACCTTTGGGGCGCCTAGGTGGCTCAGTCGGTTAAGCTTCCAACTTTGGTTTAGGTCCTAATCTCATGGCTCATGGGTTTGAGTCCCCCTCATGCTCTGCACTAATATCTCAGAGCCTGCAATCTGCTTCCTGTTCTATGTGTGTGTGTGTCTCTCTCTGCCCCTCCCCTACTCACACTCTGTCTCTCTCAAAAATAAACATTTAAAAAATGAAAATAAATTTTTTATCCAATTTGTTTTACCTTGGGTAAAGGGAGGGGTTCAGACTTTGAACCCTTCTCTTCATCATTGTTTTAAGTCTATAATAAAATCTTTCAGGGAAGTCCTATCCAAGCTTCAGGACAAGTAATTCCCTAGTAAATATTAAAACAGTTTAAAAGGTCAGTGATTTGGGGGTGGGGAGAGCAGTGGTCATTCAGCACAGTAGCTGCCACAGCAAAGACAAAGGAAATCAAATCAGAAAGGTCTAGAAGAATAAAGCATTTGCAATCTTGCAGTTCTTGCCTTTTAAAAAATCCACAGAGGAGAAATATCAGAAAGGACTGACATCACTACAAGACATGGCTTACTGTAAGTGGAAGGGATCAGGTGCCCATCATTTCTTGTAATTATCTTAGATTTTTTTTTCTAAATCCACAGAAAACGTGTCCCTATAATCTGAAACTAAGGGGGCATATCCTTCTTGAAGATTGAGTAAACATGCCTGAGAACTTTTAAGAAAAGTGAAATAAAAATAAGCAACATTCTAAGCATACAAATTTTATTTTAGAATTATAATGTGCTTTTTAAAAGTATACTAGAGGGGTGGCTCAATCAGTTAAGCATCCCACTTCAGCTCAGGTCATGATCGACTCTTGATTTCAGCTGATGTCATTATCTCACCATTTGTGAGTTCAAGCCCTGTGTTAGGTTCTGCACTGATAGCTCGGAGCCTGGAGCCTGGATCATGTTCTGTGTCTCCCTCTCTCTCTGCCTCTCCCCTGCTCGTGTTCTCTCTCTCTCAAAAATAAATAAATAAACAATTAAAAAATAAATAAATAAATAAA